TCCATCATCTTGAACCGATGGGTAGCTTCCTAGCCCAAAACCCTACCCAATTTATTTATAGGCTCATGATTACAAGCTAGCTATGGTACCTTTATTTCATTCTCCTGGATGTTATGTTTTGCCTTCTAATCAGGTCCCACGCACCTAACCAATTGATTTCTTCTTTAACCATTACAAAGTCGTGCTTCCACCGTATCCCTATGTATGATCCACATTGCAACTACGTAGTTACTAACTACCTTGGGCCCCGTATTTTAATGCCCCTGGAAAAATCTTCATGAAATTTTTTTATAAAAAAAAAAATTAAAGTTAAAATTTTAAATTTATTAAATATTATTTTTTAAAAAATAATTATATTAATTAATTAAATTGAATTTCAGATTTCATTCGGTTTAGGAATTATGATTTAATTTGGCTGATTTGAATTTTTTTGTATGAAAGTTTTTGGAATTTAATTGTTACATGCACGTGAATTTGTGCACCAGAGGGCAAAATAAAATATTTTTACGTAATTTACTGTTTTATTTTTAGGGAGTTTTGTATCAAATTATGTAATTAAATTAAATATTTTATTTCAGCACTCGTCTTTTAGGGAAAAAGAAAAGATGTCTTTTCCTTTAACAATGTGACCAATGTAAAAATAATAACTATGAGGAATTATAATAGCTGGTACTGGAATGTGGAAATAATTTTATTTATTATTATAGTAGTAGGTTGTGAAAAATAATTTTACGAAAAGAAAAAAAATTTGTGCAAAATTTGTTGAAGAAGACTTAGCAGGAGAGCAACAATATTTTTCAGAGTCGCAAGTCTAAAGGCCCCCAGCTTTTAGGCCGAAAAAGCTGAAATTCTTGTCCGAAAAGTCTATCAATCCTTTTGGTGTGGGATCAGTTCTGTCGGTAAACCCAAAATTATGGTTGGGCTGCTTTTCCTTTTTTAAGGAAATAATTAGATAAAAATTTAGAAATTTTTTTATTAAAATAAATTTAAAAAATTAAATTCAAAAATATAAATTGATAGATTAAATTTTTTTTATATAGATTAAGTAAGTAAATTTTAAATATTTTAAATAAATTTTGACATATTTTTAGATATATATTATTATTATTAAATAAATATAAATTAAATTTAAATTATAAATAATTTTTTATATGTTATTGATCTTCTCGTATTTCTTATTTCGTGATCCGATCAATGTGAAATGGAATCCCTTCTATCCTTGAAAATGAAAATAAAAATATTGATAATTAAAACTTTTTTTAAGACTAATATATAGTAATAAAATGTTTTATGATATATATATATATATATGTAACACGTAATGCTAAAGAAACAATTAATTTTCCCTTTCAATATGATGTTAATAATTTTTATATAAATAAATAATCGTGTGATTTGTTAATAAAACATTAAATTTTTAATTTTAATAATCAGATTTCAAATTTTAATAACTTCAAATATAAAAAAAAAATTTCTATATTATACAAAGAGAATGAACTTTCGTTCAACAACTTAAAAATGCTAGTATAAAAAATTTCAACGACAAAATTATGAGAGTGGAGTGAAAAGCTTTGCATATGTATAAGATTTGAAGCAGAGTTGTAATAATACCTTGACGACCAAAGCTTCGACATTTTGGAACCCAAATGATTTTTTTCATAGACGACAATAGACCATAACCAAAACAAATACGACATTATCTTTCCAAATGATAAAAAAAAAAACACACACACACATATAAGCAATAAGCAATGATAAAAAAAATTTTGGCATTTTATTCCCAACTCATAATTCTTATCAAGAAGTATGCATATAGAGAGCGAGAATTAAATCATAGTTTATATAACAAAAATACTCCATTTTGTGGGATGCATATTGGTTTCTGCTGAATTTTATAGGATAATTATATATATTTTTAAGTATTTGATTAAGATTTGAATCTTCATTATTAAAATTAGAAATTTAACATTCTATTAATAGCAATGTGTTCACTGTATATATATTGCTTCACAATAAATTGGCATCAAGTTCTAAGTTTGAACCATGTGATAATGAATTGGAGAAAAGTGCAGGTAATTAAGATCTCTTGGTGGATGAAGATAAATGGGGAGAAAAAGAACAAAAAGAGGTGAGTTATTAATATAATAAATTAAGACTTAATAAATGGAAAGTATTCTATTATTTTATGGAATTCAAATTGCTAATTATCTAGAATTAATTAGTATAATTATAACACTTGTTTTTTCCATTGAAAATATATAACCAAATTGGGTAAAGCCATCATTTGCCCCCATATGAAACATTTTAATCCCTATGTATAGTCGTTATCCTTTCCATCAGCTTTTTCAACTTTTGTTTTTTCGATTTGGCACTTGCTAAAATTCGAAGCCCCTTTTGTTTTGTTTTTTTATTTTTTATTTTAGTACAAGCAAGAGGAAGGAAATGAAAAGAGGGTGGAGTTCGAAACCCGGTTCCTCCCTTTCGAGTTCCTTATCAAAATACAAAAGCATATAAAACGAAAATGGTTAAAATTTAATACTATGGACTATAATATAGAAGTATGTATCATTAGGAGAAGAATTAGGTTTAAGTAAGTTTGGTGTCGAACCCGAAACTTAATTGAGTTCATGCAATAAACTTTAATAAATAGCATTCATCAAATTTAGGTTAAAATTTCAACATTTATAAATTTTTTTTATTCTCAATCTCTTTTGTACCAAAAATAATTGAAGACACCTGTAACCATATTATACTGAAAAAAAGTAAATGTGTGTTAGTTTATATGTTAACGCGTAAATTGTAGGAATGGATATTTAGTTCACTTGTTTTGAGTAGGAGATATTTACTAGTTCATTAAGTAAACTATTAATTAGTATTGGAAAAATTTTACAATAATTTCTAATGAGAAAAACCCAAAGTTCGGAGAAAGAAATTCGCTTTCCAAATTAAGGATTACAGATGAGCAATCATGGACAATTCATGAAAGTCAAGGACCTCCACAAATTAAAGTGTTCAGGGACCATCTCTATAATATTGTCTAGTCAATTAGTATTACTTGCTCAAACTTGAATTGTATCAATTTTATTGGTGATGAAGATTAAGAAAAAGCTGAAAATGTAAACCTAACGATTAGTTTGTTGTACATCTCACATGGTATGCCTTCTTTCTCTAATCAATCAGCTTCAATATGTATATATGCAAACTAATCATGCTTAACCCAGCAATCTTTGAGAGATATTTACAACAAAAATTTATACTTTAATACGTTTTAAATTCGGACACCTACAATTTTTTCATCTCAAATTATAACGTCTTTTGTATAATAAAATGAAAAGATTTGAACGGCCAACTAATGACAATTGTAATTTGCAAATGCTCCAAAATGATTTGCAATAATTGTGATTAAGTCTCACCAATAATCGCATTTGCAGCAACATTACGTACTTGAATTAATTCTTTTGACTCATGAAATGAAGACACCAAACATATTTTATTTCTTTTATTTTTACAAGGCTTAAACCAGAAGCTTGAACTGATCAAAAGCATATTTTTAATTAACCAAATTTCGCCCCCTACACTAGTTGTCGCCTTAAATAAGACAACCGTTCAAAGGCCCTAATTACATAAAAACCATCTGCTTAATTACAGTTAACAAGAAATTAGGAAGGGTTGATCCCACGATGACATAGCTATATACAGTTCAAACATGTTGAAAGCATGGGACTAGTTTGAGCTAATACATGCATATTTCTGGTTCAATTGCAACGCATGACATCAATTTATGTCATAATGAAAAATGACAAGTTTACCGCTCAACATCCTCAAATTTCATTAGAAATTAACCACATATCAGTTTGAAAGAGATCACTCAGCATTTTGGTATGTGTTTCTTCCACTTAGCCTATCGTCGTACTCATTTTAGTCAAACTACCAACATTTCTGTGTAGCGGTAGATTTAAATTTTTTTTTCAAAGTGTTCAGTTATAATATATATATATAAAATATTATTGATGAATTTATCAATTTTATTAATAAAAAAGATATTCAAAAAAATTATTTTGGATATTGGGAAAATTTTTCTTTTAAAATTTTTTGTTTTCCAATTTTGGAATGTGCAAAGAAAATTTTTTCTTTAAATTTTCTTGTTTTTCAATTTTTAGAAGTGTCTACGATCATCCCACCACAAGACTTGGATCCATCCATGTTTCACGCTAAATGTCTTTTCCGAATTTGCAAAAGTTTTCTCGACAAAAAAAGAGAAAAAAAAGAAGAGAATTTGCAAAAGTCTCGTGATTTTCAAACTTTTAGCAACAAATACAGTTAGAGAGATCGATCAGGGTTCAGAGAGTTATGATTGATCTTAACAGTTCCTTGTTATTATTCTTAATTAATTACTTTTTTTTTATTAATGTTCTCAATATGCACTTAATTTATAGCTTTTAACAAACATAAAGTACTATTGTCTATTTGAGTTTGAATTTCCTGCATAGAAAATTAACTTTTCTTTGTTAGACTATACCGAATAAATTTTTAGGCCTTTAAGCAATATCTCATTACAAGAAAACAAAACGTTTAGTCGTCTTAATTTATAATGACTAAAAATAATATTGCGAAATCTTATTATATTTACAATTAACTTTTTATACTTGCTGCTAAACTTAAACCAAGAAAAGGCAGATCTAATGAGTTGAATGACTCTAAATTTTTCCTTCCTTTCCTATTCTTATTTCAAAAAACATGGGAACATGCTTTGAATTTTGAAACACACAAAAACATATAATAAAATTCATTTAAACAACTATAGGAGTACTATATATCAAAATCGCCGTGATTTGAGAAAAAGCTTTAGAAAGCACCAATAATTTCCTGGTGACACCTCAAGTTCTTAGCAGACATGGACCAATTCAGTCAACTTCTACCCCAAAAGAAGAGGACCTTTTCGTTATATCCTGATATTAAATAATTGAAACTTTGGTATAATTTTCTATTGGCCCTGGCTCGTTCGTGCTTTTCTTTTCTGTGCAACATCTTATCCTAATTCCTTAAAGATGGCGGCCTTTTATCCTCCAAATCTTGATAGGCTCTATAATGTTAGGTGAGACAACAGTATCCTTCAATTCTCAATCTTCCTCGATCGACACCACCATAACAGATTGATGGTTTTGATTAGATTTTTTTTTTTTTTTTAATTTTCAAACCCTGTTCCAATGTGATGCAACCAAGTGGATATAATTATTTGTGTTTTTGGTGTGAGACCCATTGGACACATGAGACCCACATTCCAGACTCTAAAGTCAGCACTAATCTATGGTTAGACTTTGTCAAGCTTTTTTTTTAAGATAGTTAACGAATTGGGGGAGACCACAATCCCCTTAGAAATGATTACAAGCAGAAAATAACTATTAATCTCTAATCTCTATAATAACCCTTCCTCTAGAGATTATGAGTGGTGATTAGATCGATGAAATCGTTATTAAGTAAAGTATAATGACTTGACAATGCCACCCCATCTCTCATATTTCACCCTTATTTATGCAAACACATATGCATATAAATCTCTCTCTCTCTCTCTCTCTCTACTCTATATATATATATATATATATATATATATATATATCCACATAAGCAGGCTTCTTTATATGATCTTGACATGTACTTCAATTATACCGACAGATGGCATAATGGGTCTGATGAAGATGGTGAAGATGACTTCGTCAAGCTCCATAGATCATTCTCGTTGCCATAGACCTGCGAATTCTGACTTGATCTGTGCAAATTTATGTTCGATAATTGAATAACATCATCGTGACAAAGACTGAAAACCGCATTAGGGTCACTAAAACCTGATAGTTGTTTGCTTGTCTCTACTTGACCATTTAGCTGGAATGCCACAAGTCGGTCCAGGGTGACCCAGTCATTAACGCCAATAGTTTTAGACCCATTATTATTCTCAATTACTGAACCCGTGTGATCACAAGCACCGCCCCCTTGGTTGATTGAAGATGGTTCAGTTTCAGTCAGCAAATCTTCGATGGATAGGTAACAAGACTTGAAGCTTCTTTCTTGATCGAAGGATGGGCTACTCATGGGAAGTGAAGGGAGAGTTGGGCTTTCCAGCCTGGGGAGATGCATGAACCTTTCATGTAACCCATCGCTGATTCCTGCGTTGTTTGTGACTGGCATTCTTAGATTGTTACTGCTGTTGGTGTTGGGGGTGTTCATGTTGCTCAATGAATCATTCTCCATCTTGCAAGTCCTTCCCATATATAGAAGAATTTGATCTAGAACCCCATCGTTGCCCGAGCAAAGCATCTGCGCCTTTGAATTCAGAGAAGTTGAGGAGGAGTTTTTGGGACTTTCTAGGGTTTTCTGATAATTCTTCTTTCTAAATACACGGCAAACCACCCAGCCATCTTCAGGCACAGAATCTCCAATTGGATTGGAAGCCTTGACCCATTTAATAATTTAATATAAGCAAAACAGATTCAGGACAGAGGAATTTGTAGCTATTAAGATTAAAAAACTGCTGCTAAAATATCAGACAGATTTGTACGAAATGCTTGATTAAGAATGATACTCCAATATTATATACATAAATATATATATATATTTTTTATGAAGGAAACGGGAGAAGATTGCTTACATTAGAGTCATGGATAGTGTTATCATCCAGCCTGTACTCGTGCATAATCCAATCAGATTTTTGTCCATGTGGAGCTCTTCCTTTATAAAAGACCAATGTCTTCCTCAATCCAATTCTTCTAAACCCACTATAGATAATCTTATCACGGCCAGTTGCTTTCCAGAACCCGGCAGCTGTTGCTCGATTAGTTCTGGTCCCCGTTGGGTATTTCTTGTCCTTGTGGCTGAAGAAGTACCAATCATTCTGTGGGGTGGATCCTATTTTGCACTTCTCTGCATAACCCACAAAAAAGCAGAACAATTACTTAAAAATCCTATAGTTATTAACTAAACTCACATGTAAATAAATATTACTATCAGGAAAGAAGTGTTTAATTTGTTAGTACCTTGTATATCCCATGGCTCAAGCTTGTTAAGATCAACTTCCCGTATAACATCCAGGTCTATCTTTTCATAAGCCACTTTCTTTCTGAGGTAATAATGAAGAAGTTCCTCTTCTGTGGGGTGAAATCTAAAACCAGGAGGGACCTGAGACTGACCATTTATGGATAGATTCATATCTTCTGACATTATCTGATCTCTCTTCAAATCAGGAAAGAATGGTGGCTTTTCCTTGCTGAGATATATAACTGATATATATGTATAATGTTTTTAAAAATAAAACTGATCAGCCAAGGGAGAGAAAGAGAGAGAAAATAGAAAGAGAAGAGGAAAGCAATAACAGGGCGGGAGAGAGGGAGGATGTGCGTAAAGGGTAATGCAATCATGATAATTTATAATGGTGGTAGGGCACGAATGGTCCAAATATGCATGAAAAGTTTGGGTATCATGGCCATTGGTGTACTTAGCTTGGTGTCTATGCCCTTGAGAAGAGCTAACCACCTAAAAACTAGAGAACTCATAGAGAAATATACAACCAAAAAAATAATAATTAATTAAAATGAGGGAATATATAGGGAAGTAGGTCCCAATATAGGTGGTAAAAAAACAGTGGGTCCTATCCCCAAAAAAAGGCGTTAGAAATGTGGGAAAGCGGGGGGCACGCCCACATCTCAACTACGACCCTCGACCTTAATATCTATGTGAATAGCACCTCTAAAACCACCTCTCTTTCCCTAAAGAATCACTCGTTTTACTTGTGCAACCACCCTCAAGTCCTCAACGACAAGAGAGCAAGAAAAAAGATGATGGGGTCGGAGCCACTGAGCTTTGATGGCCCCCTAGACCTAGAAATACATCATGGGAATGGCCTTTGTTTACGACTTAATTGGTTTAATTTTTCGTGCACCTAGCTAGCTAGCATGGGAGGAGGGGGGGACTGGCGCCTGGGGGATACCTGGGGCACTATCTTCTACTGTAAAATTTTCACTCTTCGTATTGCACTGAATACTACATAAACCAACAGGCTAAATAAAACAAGTGCATAATTTTTTTTTGTTGACTGCAGTTTGTTTTTTTGTATGCTATATTTATGAGCGTTGTATATTTCTTACTTGCATAAATTTGAAATGCGCACGTGTCCTACTATTTTGTGAGGAGGTTAACTCAAAAGGCCCAAATCCCACTTCTTTAATGGCGTCCAGAATACGACCGAGGGGAGAAGAGAGGACCATTCACTCTTTATATTTGCGTGTTTTCCTTTTCTGCACTCTTTCATTCACCGCTTTCCTTGATTTTACATGGCAACTGCTGAATCTTTCATTTGATAATTGAAATTGTGAAATATATCGTAATCTCAAAAGTATAACCACCGGAAAACAAATCAAGAATCGCCATTATTTTGTAGCCGTAAAGCTTGACCACACATGACACTAGCTCCGTAGGGGAAACCTGGCTGATCAAATCCCAAAATTAATCAAATTATTTATGATTTAGTTGTAATTTTTCTTCTTGGGCCCAATATACTGTATTTCAACCAGCAAAAACAATAGCTAGCTTGCTTCTTTAAGATTAAATTTCGTATAAAAAATTCCGTAGCTGATAACCTACCAAGGAACCTATTCATTATTATTTCATGCTGCAGACGTAAGGCGACAAGACAGAGGGCAAAACGTCCTCGTGAGACGTAAAAAGATGGAGCAACGCCGACAAGGTCTGCGGCTGTATAGAAATATAGGAGTACAATTACAATAGTAAAGATTGTGACTTGACATAGAATATATATTTTTGTTCTTTTTTTCTTCTTGTTGGTCTGCAAATAATGAATGGGATATAAGTGCAAAAGGGCCGGCTTAGCAATTTGATTTTCAATTAACATGTTTTACTTCAAGCTGCTAATTAAGAAGGAAAATGTTTAAAAGGTAAGGAATTAGTATCTTTTAGTGTAAAATCTAATAACCATCCACATATATTACGCGTAAAAAAAATAAAACTTTTTCTATATTGTTTAAATGAGAGATGAATCATGGATGAAGATTTAGATTAATGATAAGGAGGAATCTTTAGAATATAATTAAATAAATTTAATATAAAGTTGAATTAAACTCATATAGGGAACTATGATCACTATATTTTAGTTTAATTAAGCCTAATTGCTATAACATATCAACAAAATCTAATAGAATATATGTACGGTATAACTGAAATATGTAAAATAAATGAATTTACATTGTCATAAACTCACCTATATAAATATAAGTAATTATTTGATAGTTGATTGAACCAAATAAAATCGGCTAAAATAATTTTAAAAAGCTTTTAAATTTTATTATTTTATTTAAATAAATTTTTATATTTTTATTATATCCAAATAAATTTTTAACTTTTACTTTACACCAAAATAAATTTTTAAACATTAATTTGTATCAATAAACTCTTAACTTTTAATTTATACATAAATAAATCCTAATATAAATCAATCTTTTTATCTAAACTAAGAGTTAATTGGATACAAATAAAAGAATAAAAACTTATTTGGGTACAACAAAACTATAAAAACTTATTTAAATAAAATGATAAAGTTGAAAGACATTTTTAATATTTTCATCAATAAAATTATAGTACCGACCTACAGTGGACATTTAGATCAAGTTCAATGGGCCTTTTTTACCTTAGCTACTTACATCGATGACATATTTGAACATATTGTAGCAAAAAAATCTAGCAATCCAAACCGTCTATCAAGTATATTATTAACCCATTTTTTGGCAGCTAATTAGAGGATGAATCAATTTTTCTAACTAGAATTTTTTTAAAGTCAGAATTTAATTAGATTCATGTAATCATCTTCAGATGCACGCAATATTTTTAAGTTTGAAATTTAAATCACGGTATTTGCAATTTTTCTTTTATCTCTAGTATGTAATTTTTTTTTTGGAAAAAAAAATTCACTAAGATAGAAAATATTTTTTTAAGATGTTAATTTTCCTTAAACAAAGAAAAAAAAAATGAAAACTTGAGTTGTATAAGCACAAATTTGTTAAAATATTTGGAACCCGTCGAGAGTCAGTTGAAGGCCGGAAAGTGTAGCAAAAACAAGTTGGTATGGCTATACCGACTCAATTTCTGATTAAATGATTACCAAACTTGACAAAATTCTAATTCAATTTAGGGTCCATTCAGAGATGTTTCACAGTTGGAGAAGTTTATTCTATTTACATTCTTGGTCTTTGTCGGAGTGAAGAGATAATTTCAACCTTGCCACTAGAATATTCAATTCTTTTTTCAACTACAATAAGTGGAAACAACTGAAATACAAAACCAATCAAAAGCAAGGAGAAAAAAAAAAAAAAACCAAACGTTTTGGACGGTGCTGTTGAATTTCTTTCTTCGACTCAAAGGTGAAACTTTTGTGCGAGAATATATTTTTAATTCTAGTAATCTCTTCGAACTGTTGAGTTAGATATGTGTTAGGGACATTTAATGGTTAAAAGAGTATAATGATTTTTTTTTCTTTCAAAGTCTTCAACAGACAATCAAGGGTATCTTTGTTATTTGTGACATGATTAGTATCACCTTGGCTTGGTCTTGTCTTAATTGTTCCCTTATTGTTCCCCTCAGCTTATCTATAAATATAAAGATTCAGGCATCATGAAAGTAGGTTCATCCCACTCGCCTCTCTCTCTCTTTCTTATTTTTTGTTGACCTAGTCTTTACTGACTTGCGTGTTAGAGTACAGACGTATGGAACACCCCCCGCCTTTACCTCTAACCGTTCTTCTTTTCTGCATTTACATAAATACCCTCAGGTCAAAGCTCGATACCAATATTCGGCATGTCAGGTAAGGGATCTTGTATTAGCTGAGCACAAAACAATGTCACAAAAAAAAATTCTCGAGGAACAAAAGGCAACTGCCCTAGTTGGAATAGAAACTCACCTTAGCTACCATTCTGTCCACCCAGCTCAACCATAGATGGGATCGATCGTAGAACAATTTCAAGCCTTAACAGAACAAATATAAACTTTTAAGCAAATGTTACAAGCTATAACCCTACCACAAGTTTCAAAAATATTGAACTTAATCATACTTGGTCGAACAACCAAGCTACGAAGACGAAGACCTTCTCAGCCTCTAGAGAAGAAGAACACACAAACCTAACTCATCACCGCCCGAGCGACAATTCCACACAGGCCATAACCTAAAAATCCAAACAAATAGACCATGAATTTCAACTAAATAGAGATTTGGAAGCTTGGATGCTAGCCATGAAAAAAAAAAAATTGAAAATGAAGATAGTGGCATTTGAGGATGAGCTCAAGTTTTTGGAGACCTTACCCTTTACTGAAGAATTGATAAAGCCATGCCTCTCAAAGTATTTAAAATGCCAACTTTGAAGACATATGCTGGTACTTTTAATCCCTTTGATCATTTAAAACTTTATAAAATTAACATGATAATGCATGGGGCAGATGAGGCTCTAATATGCAAAGGTCTAGCCATTACGTTAAAAAGCACAGCTCGATCCTAGCATAGCAGTATAGAGCTGAGGTTAATCACTACATTTAATGAGCTTAGCCACTCGTTTCTATACAAATTTTGAATAGCCGAAAAGCAAAAAAAATGACCCTAAGTTTGATGTCAATTCACCGAGGGTGGAGTGAAACTTTGAAAAGCTATGTCACGTATTTTTACGCGAAAGCTCTACAGGTTAAAAACTTGAACAGATGACCACTGTTGCTGCACTAATAAGTGGACTCAATAATAAAAAATACCATTTAAAGCTGACATTATCACTTGAATTATCCAAAACTCTGGCTGACATCATACTAATAACAAAGAAATACATTAATGTTGAAGCTACAACAAAAACTAGTTGACATAAGAGAGGCTCATCACTCTCCTCGGTGGTTGACATGAGAGAGGATCATCATTCTTCCTCGATCATAAAAAAAAAAAATTTTTACGATCTTTCCCTAAGAGGAAGATGACATAGAGTTAGAAGCCCTAGTGGAGAAAGAAACTCTACTGCACTGAATACATCTCGTGAGAGGATTCTGATGTAAATTGAAAGAAATTTTACCCTCAAATGGCTTAAGCCACTGAGACAAAAAATAAGAAGGGACCCAATAAAAAAATATGCCTTTCACAGGGACATCGACCATAATACCAAAGATTGTATCGACCTAAAAAATTATATTGAAGCTCTGAAAAGATGAGATCGGTTGAAGAGATTTATGGGACAAAGAATACAATACCAACTTAGAATGGACTGTAGATAAGACTACAGAGCACCCACCTGAGATAGAAAGGGAAGAATAGAGCAGGGAATAAGGGATGCTAGAGGAGAAA